TCCCTAAAATATAATGAAAACCATCTGTCGGACACTTTGCCAGGGGCTTTAGGATACTTTCCATGTCTTTCCTAAAAACCCTTTAACTTAGGTAACAGACTAGTGACAACCAAGTCAGAGTTGGAACCATTCACCAATTTTTGAGGTCAAAAGTGGTCATCTTTCTACCCCATTTAAGAAGAAATGGAAGACAAAAGTGGCCTGAGTCACAGGGCTAGCTGCTTTTACTTCTTGGCGTGATACTTCTTTCTTCAACCCTCACCCAGGTTACACAGCACCCAAAGTAAACTGTTTCTGATGAAAATTACTGTTGCTCTATTATATGTTAATCTTATTTATGTATGAAAAGTTACTGCCTTGGTCCCACTGCCATAAGGAAGAAGTTAGAGACCAGACATTTTAGCACACTTGTACATAAACCACAAGCTACTTATTTCTACAACTCACGAGTAATATAAAATTTTGTTTTCCATGCACTTTTTTTCAAGTTTTCAGTTTGGGAATTCTTATTTGTGGATAATAGGTTTCCCTACCATTACCCTTAATTTGATGATGCTATTATAATTTTTCAAAAATCTTTGGTTTGAGGTTATCAACTGAGAAGCTACATGGGACCTTATGAGGGCATAAAAAACTATGGCACATGAATTAACAACACTAACCCTAGTACTCCAAGTGCTATTTAACAGATGTTTTATTGTGGGCTCTCCTTTACATCACTGGGTTAATTATCTCTCTAAAGAGCTACACAGGAAAACAAAGTCAACATGGAGTTAGCATCTGGACCAGTCTTTATAAGGTGAATGGAGAAATCACACGGACAAGAGAATCTTCTATGAAACAGGCCCTTCCTATCCAGGATATTGCGGAGTTTGCTCACTCAAATAATCAGATCCTTCTTCAACTGTGATTGAAGCCACTACAACCTTTCCTCTAATACCAATTAGGAATAAGAAAGGGCTTAGGGTTTTGTAGGGTCTAAGTGATACTTAAAGTGAGTCATTTTCTGTTTGTGGATTTTGGATTCTGTTTGATTCTGAAAGTACACAAAATAGGAGGGTACTTCAAAAAGTCTATGGAAAAACTTACTTAAAAAATACAAATCTTGACATGTATTATTTGTGCTGTCTATCATTTTGCATGTAGTGGGGGTTTGACTATGTATGTGTGGTTTCTATCTACAGTGAAAAGGAAAAAAAATAAAATTTTTCTTTATGGAGGAAAAATCCACGAATCTTTCTATGAACTTTTTGAAGGCCACTCATATACTATACTAAATTAAAATTTGTGTTTCAGAAAATATGGATTTCAGTTTTCAGAGTTGCAGAGCTTTATGTCGATGTTTCTTTATAGAATTAAAGTGTCCTGGTCATCTTAAATGAGAAGTAACAAGAGGAGGGATGCTTCATGATTACAGTGTTTATGTCAAGGGGGGTGCTAGACTCCCAGGTATTCCTGGGAATATCTTAAGTGCCAGGAAAATACTGGGACCCCCTCAAACCTCAGTGGTTTTGGGAAACCCAGTGCAGGTCAGAATACTACTCTGAACCTAGGCTGACCCAGAGGGTTCATCAATCCATGAATAACTTTTAGAGTCCTCTTGACCTTCTGAGCTAGATTACTTCCAAATTACTCCAGCAAATTATGTCTCAGTTCTTATTAAAAGGGACAAAAAGGACATTTCCAAGACTACTGAAAAATGTGCATACATACCTAAGGATATAACACATTACCACAGTAGCATACAGAACATCAAACAATAGTGGATAGTTTCAAGGACACTTTTCAAGAGGTGTACTTTTTAGATTTCACATTTCATTGTGGCTCCACATTAGAATAAAGAGATTGTGAGTTCTGGGCAGGCAAAACCCTTGAAAAAATTATGTTAATTTGAAGGTGCAGGGGTACGGAAGGCTTATGCTTTCCAAACAAAGAAAAAATTAAAACACATTAAATGTATATATGTATATATATAATTTTTAAAAATATATATATGCACATGTACATATATACTTTAAAATGTTTTATGTATATATGTATACATATAATTTTTAAAAATTATTTAATTGAATACTTAAAAAATGTCAAACCTATTTGTTAAACATACATGTGTCCCTGAAAGTAACACTGATCCAATTGTATGAGGTATTTTAATTTTACTGGCTTTTCAGAGATGACAAACTTCTCTACCTTCCTCACAATCAATAATTAAGATTGGGGTTCATTACTCTGGACTCACATCTACTTTGTCTAATACCCTTTCATTTCTCTGCAGTCCTCTACTACCCCCCCAAAAAACCAAAATCAGATTGTATTAAAGTAATTTAACTTCACTGCAAAGCCACAACTAGATTCCAAATCTGTATAATATTACAATTCATGAGACACCTATAAGCACATAATCTATATTTGTACACTTTATTTAAAAACAAATAATACACTTAGAGCCACCAAAAATGGATATCTTAATTAGCTTATCCATACCCTGAATTTACAAAAGAAACTTCTTGCACCACAAAAATTAGCATTGGGATTAATTTACATTAATTGATATTAAAACCAAAATTTAAAATACCTGAAGATCAAACAATCTGGCCCAGAGCTCACCAGCTGGGGGGCTGGGTGTGGAGAGAAAGGGTTATTTAGAAATCTGAACTGATGATGTCCTGAGGTCAGCTCTAGTAAACTGAAGTTGAGGAGACATAAAATAACCAGTAGATTTCAGTATTACAAAGAAGCGGTTCCTCCTAAAAACAGATATTAGATCATACAGTTAGGGTGGGGGTAGAGAATACCTCTTAACCTGGGACTGGAAAAAAGCATGGGGAGAAGGGGCATTGTATTCATTTCTCACAAGAGGCAAATTTCAGCCAAACAATGAGGAGAAAATAGGGAGGGAGGTATGTGGTAGACCAAAGACACTCTGATAGCAGATAATACCAAATTTAGCAGCTCTCTATCAGTCAATTAAAATACCATTATTTGAGACATTTTCAGAGAGGAGCTAACACACAACCGGGGCGGGGCGGGGTGGGGTGGGGGGGAATCATTCTACATTAACAAGGCACTCACTGGTTCACAGCCTGTTAAAAACCCAGGCAGACATTAGAGTCAATCTAAATTAAAATGAACTTTCTGATTTGCATCAGAAGGATAATAAGCATGTGGCCCCAGTTAAATCAAATCTAAATCCAGAAAATTCTGACCCCTAAGTACCACTGCAGGAATACTGCTAGAATAAATGAGTGGGATCTAGGGATATCTACTTGAGCTAATATTTTTTTAGGTTAGAAAACACACACACACACACACACACACACACACACACACACACACACACCACTGATGTAAAGGATCTGTGTAATACTTTGTATTAGAGTCAATCTAAATTAAAATGAACTTTCTGATTTGCATCAGAAGGATAATAAGCATGTGGCCCCAGTTAAATCAAATCTAAATCCAGAAAATTCTGACCCCTAAGTACCACTGCAGGAATACTGCTAGAATAAATGAGTGGGATCTAGGGATATCTACTTGAGCTAATATTTTTTTAGGTTAGAAAACACACACACACACACACACACACACACACACACACACACACACACGCCACTGATGTAAAGGATCTGTGAAATACTTTGTTAACCTGGCATCCCTTACACGGACATGGAGATCCAGTTGAATAATGAATATGGCCAATTAAAAAGCTTTTAATGGCAAAAGTAAGCTATTCAAGTCATTTACTGATGACCTATCCTTTGTTTTCTGGACCTTCCCCTAAAATTAGGAATTAATACATTAACAAAAATATACATATTTTTGTCAGCTACTACTTTCGTACAACCTGAATCCCAGTGTCAAACACTTTAAAGTACTGCAATTACGTAAATAACTAAACAAGTACACATAGTAACAGAAGTAACTTCTGAGTAATAAAATGAATGATTACGTACTTAATAGTCTTGAAACAGCTTTCAAAGAATAAAGCAAGCTGAAAAAAATTAAACTTAGAACTCTTTTTCCATGTAAATTCAGTAACAATTTGGCTCTTGGTTGAAAACATCATACAGACATATACCAGCCAGAGATTAACTATGTCCACTGATTACCAACATTGATGGTTCATTTTAAGCAATTCTTTCAGAGGAAAACCAAAATTAATTCTAAGCCTTTCAATGTGATTTGTGACATTGAAAAGTTATAATACAATATAACTTTAAAGACAAAGCTTGAAAAAAAGCACCAACATAGATTTTTTTAAATGCATACAATCATTTCAGATGTCATAAGGATTTACTTTAGTTAAAATGGCAGCAGTGACAAAGAGGTAGATATGAGAGATGCCACTGAAATACCTTAAGACTATTCTTAAGTGGAATTTTAGGTGTTTAAAAATAATTTTTGCTAGCTGAATCTTCATCACATAAAAATTTCACAATATGTTCTTAAGGGGGAAATATATGAAATACTAAAAAAGTGAGCCTTTAAAAAATTACATTTACTTAGCCAACACTGAGATCCCATGATTTTGGTGAACCTATAATGTCTCCTTACCTGCACTTGACTATAATTAAAGAATAGCTATTTTTTCTCTATGAAAGTTCTAGTAATTCACATTCAAAATTATTGAAAAATATATATGGTGCTCAGAAGAGCACAAAGATAATGCATGAAATGTCCCCTGAAGACCTAGAAGTTGAGCAGATACATTAAAAAGACGTTGATGGTCACAAATCAGGACCTTCACAGATTGGCAAACACACACACAACACACACACACATTCTCTTTCTCTCTCACTGCTGGCCTCCCCCCACCCCCCGCAACTCAATCTTCATCCTCACTGTAAGGCTGCATTTGTATTTTTTTTTTAAAGGCACCTCTCATTTTCTAGCTATTGCCTTCTTGATGATATCTGTTTTGTTAAAAAGCCTGAATGTTCAATGGAAATAGTTCAGTACTAAGAATGGAATATTTTTCAATTCACATTTGAATAGCCAGGTTTTCTTACATTCAGATTTTAATAAACTAGAATGACAGTCTTTAAAACAAGCATGCTAGCCTATAATGAATATAGTATATACAGTAATTTAAACATTTAGAACTATATATTATACTGCAAAAGCAAACAGCACAACACTTGTCATACTCATTATCTGCTGTGTACACTACCTCCAAAAATAAAAATACAAAACAGTAAAATGCACCTATGGTTATTTATATATATATATATATATTATATATATTCCTACAATATATATAATATACATTTATAAAATATACATACATTTTAGACATTTTCAAATAAATCTTCATCATTATCTCCAAAAGAAATTTATAGCGAGAATAGTGAAGGAATGACAGTCAGATAAACAAAAAATTTCTCATGAAGTTCATTATCAGTGATGCAGCTCATTCCCCCCTTTTAGTCATAACTAAAATGATTATAAAAGCTAAATACTTTACATAACTAATTGTTTAATGGCAAAAACTGCTAAATTTGTTCAATAGAAAAATACTGAAGGTCATTATACCACTTATGTTAAATATCTATGATTTGAGTAGCAAATGAGTTCCATATGACAGTTTTTTGAGAAGGGTGCTGCAAGCTCCCAGAGCTGTATCCATAGCATATGAAAATAAGGCAGGGACTCATACCTCCTGCTGATTTTCATACTATTCCAGTATATTTCATCCAAAAATATTTACAAATCAAGCACTATGAAATCATTTCAATAACTGAATCTCAAATTTGTTCGTTTTGTGAATTTTCAATAGGCTGGGGGAAAAGTCATATGGTATTATCTGATTGGAAGACAGCTTTGGCGATTTCTAGGCTGAGATCATACAGTGTTAGTGGAGAAGAATCTCTTTGTGTACAGTCTCCAGTGGCACAGCACTGGCTTTCAAAGGAACTTTCAATAGTTCCATCTTTTGCACCACAGTCTATATATCTCATGGTTATTTTCTACTAACAGAAAAATTTCAACAATGAGGCAGAAAATGAACAGGGGAAGAGAGTGTCTTGGTTTTCAGAATTTCAGTGACATAAAGTAGGCACTGAAGACCTGGGAAGGTAATTACAGCAATAACTGGTAGAACAATAGTTTTGTGGTTGTTCATCATAAATATACCAAGTAAGGACACCTGACTGGAATTTTCCAGTATCCTTCTACAAAAGGTTAGCAACACCCTTTCTTTGCTCTGTGAAGAACTGAAAGGAATTACTGAACACAATGCGGAATTCTGTATCTGCATGAAAATAAAAACACTCACCTGGTAACTCATGTCTAAGTCAATTCATTTGATTATACAAAGGAGTCCCTTAAGCCTGCTGTAAACCAAAGCACAAAGATGAAACAAAAAGGTAGCTGTGTTAAAATACTACAACATATCCGTGTAACAATCTGGCAAATTTAGCACAGGTGTTTAGCATTAAAGAAAATTTACTTGTATCCTGCAGAGTTCTAGAGGCAGACAAGCAGAAATTTTAAATAAATATTGTCATTATTATCCATATCACCAACCAAATACTTCTTCAAGGAGTAGATGTGCATATCATCAGAAGTATCATTGCTATGACAATGGAATATGTGGGGATGGAAATGCAGGAATTATTTTAATGAGTTAAAATACTTATGAATATGATTTTTTTTAAGTCTGAGAACCTATCATATATACATTTTGGTGAAAAATTGAATATTAATAATTTATTTCTAATTTCTAGATTGGTCTCTGTCATTTGGGGCAAACAAGATGACCATTAAAACATGTGTATTTAAAATAAACAATGAGGAGGGATAAGGAGAGTGAAAGAGAGAACCCTTTAGCCAATCTTAGGCATTGAACTCCTCCATCAAGATTTCTGGGAGTTTCTTCTTCTTAGAGATATTAATAAAGGATTCCTGGGGTATATAGCATTTGTTTTAATTAGTACTTTTGTAAAAGCAGCTGCCTGAGGTTACCCACACTCTTTGGACCGTTAAAACAATAATTATGAACTATTTTTGGTAGATATCAGATAACAAATGTGAGAGACAAAGAACAAGAAGCAGAGATCACCTGAAGCATGATTATGTAGGTGTTGATAAATGAGTACTAGCAAATAACTTCCATCTTTTTCAGTTACTGAAAGGTAAGACTTCATCAATATGAAATAATCACTCTGGTACTATAAACACCACATGAATAAAGTGAATTCTAAAATAGAAATTATTACAGAGATATGCCCTGTTTACCTTAAAAATAAACAAAATCTCAAACCTGAATAAGTTAAATCCTTTAGTAAAAGCAGACTCTATCAACTATTCTTCATAATGGTGAATGCTTGACAGCTAAACTTTAGAATGGTACCAAATCTATTTTCAAAACTGTAATACAATATAGAAATTTCCTTGTAAACTAAATATTTGTTTAGCATTTCTTAATAATAATATATTCAACATATTATTGCATTTTTCCCCCTAATAGGTGAAAGGCTTTGCCAGGTGCTTTATGTGAACAGCTGAAAGGAGGGCTAAATTAAAAACTCATTTTAACACTGCCTGGTTATTATACACAAAGGGGTTAGTAGAGCAGATATGATAAAGATTACTGTTTTGTCTACCTAATGTGTTTAACAAGATTTCTCAGGGGAGAAGTAGGTCTAAGTTTCCACTCTTCCACTACTCATTACCAGCCATCAGGCTTTTCAATTATCCATTAAAGCATTCCCTCTTTATTCAGTAGAGACAAGCTAAACCTGTATTCGCTCAGGCCTGCCTAGCGAATTAGAACATCCTCTGAAATAAAAGCACTATTTGGGGGAAAATTTGAAACAGTTTTCAGGCTCTCAGATTCAGCTGAGCTTGCAGCAACCTGAACAACCTTAGTTTTAGAAAACAGCATACGAATTGCAAAATTATACTTTAACAAACATTCTCTGTGCTCCTTCAGCAGAACAAAAGGGCAGGAGGAGTTGGTTCTTGCCCTGGTCTTCTGTATCTCTTTTGTGCAGTTGATTATTTATAAAGAGCTAGAAGGTGGAGATGATACATTGTGTCATACAAAGACTTTAGCCAGCGCATCAGCTCCAGCACTGGCTATATAGCATTTGGATGGGTGGAAAGCTACATCATGAATTGATTCCTCAAACTTTTTCCGATGAGCTGTGAATTCTTGGATACACGTCTTACTTTCTAGATTCCATAAACGTATTGAACAGTCATGACCTATACCAAAAGAAAGGAAATTAAAAGGAAAAATTGCATTAACGTGAAAATGATAAGAACAAATAAATAATCCATAGTTGATCTACTTACTGCCAGACATCAAATACAGGCCATTAGGATCAACTGCTAAACTTGTAACAGCTTCTAGGTGGGCTACCATCGAGTGGATCAGTTTGCCTTTGGAAAAAGAGATTGTTAGTCTTTATTAATGAATGACTTCTCTCATCTTTAACACATGCCAGCTACCATGTTACACTGGTTTCTTCAGTCATTCCTCTCTATGTACTTACTGTATCAACAACTTTTTCCATTAGCTAAAACATCTGTCATCCTCCTGCCTCTGGTTATGGTAGTGATGAGAAATAAAAAGGCTCAAATTCTAGACTATACTTTTGTCTTTTGTTGTTGTTGTTGTTGTTAGACTAATCAAGTGGAGTAATGAGGAGGGAAAGAGTAGAACAAGAAGGTTGATCTGTAAATGACTGAACAATCAAGATAACTTCCTTACTACCTTCAGACCACCCACTTTTGTCTTTTAAACCACAATATGGAAGTCAGTAGTTTCTACACAAACCCTCCCTTAAGCCATGTTAATTAATTAGAATTTAAACATTATTAATCTCCTACTCTGCATCCTTTAGCTACAGGCAAATTATACAGGTTGTGGGAACAGAAAGTTCAAATTCACTGAGACAAAGACAAAGGAATAGAAAGAGAACATGGCTGCAATTTTAGTGGAAAAAAACATATAGAAGGGGATTAAAAATATTAAATTACTCATCACTAGCAGCTAAGCAAAGTCGGCAAACTCAACATATTAACAAAGACAATAGCAGGTATAATAGTAAATACGGCTACTACTACAGGGTGCTTTCCTTTCAGCACAGCTCCTCATGAATTTCATTTAAACTGATGAAATGCAACCCAATAAAAATTAGGAAGCCCCCATGCCCCAATTCAAATCAATGAGGACCAAATAGTATTATAACACAGAAAAGATTAGTCCATGGAAAAACTAACAAAATAAACCAGATGACCTAGAGGTTTTCCATCACAACACTGAATAAGGCTATTCAATGACTAAATAATTGAATATTGAATAAGACTATTCAAAAATTGAACAATTTTAAACAAAATACAATGATCATATGCCACTACTTCCAACACATTTCTATTTTTTCCCAATATATTGCAACAGATCATAGCAATAGATCATTTTTATTGGTATTTAAATGAACTGTTCATTGCATTGCTAGTGATAACGCTGGCCCTAGGGCCTAAATATAGTATCTACTCACTATTAAGTAAAGCAGAATGATTCTATATTGTATAATGAAGACTAGTCTCAGCAGATTTAGATGGAATGAACAGAAACTGAGGCAGAAGAGTATTTTTGTTTCAGCCTATTCCCTGCCTATGAAGCCACCAACAGACACCAAAATGTCTATTTATAGCAGGGATTTTTTTGCTTTAACAAAAATCAATGCTTAATAAATTTTTACCTGTGTTGTTATCATAGAATTTGATGTGCCTGTCTTCATGAGCAGTGATGCTGATCGGAAGAGTGGGATGACTGATGACTCTATTTATTTGGCAGGAAGAACTAGCTGCTAAAAAGAAAAAATTAAAGAGCAACACAAATTAGTCAAAGCTATTATATTTTCATACAGAGGAGAACTGAATACCCACCTAAGAGACTGAAAAAGTAAATAATGTGACTTTATTTTGTCTTTGATTCATTTATTCTGAGATTGTTCCCATAATATCAATGTTAGGAAATAAGAATTGCCTAAGCTAAGCCATACTGACAAATCTAGAAGGACCTAAGAATTAGAATTTCCTTTTTCACTACCTGCTATCTATGGGTCCATCGAAGGCTTAGCCTAGAGCTACTGACATTTCTCATTCTACAATGCTCTGTGATATTGTGCTATATGAAGTTCTATGTAATGAAGACAATTCCCAAATTTAAATCTCAGCTCTTTTTGCATATAGAGCTCTTCATCACAAAGTTATCATCAAAAAATAAACATTGCAAAGAAAGCTTCTTAACCCTTAAATCTTCTCTTTCCACTCTTCTTCATCATAATAGAAATGGTCATCATTTGACAGTCTACCAGGTTTGGAATCTTAAAACAGTCATCATCCTAATAGCATTTTTTTTGTATCCTTTAATAATTTTCAAAGAGATTTCACTTACATGCACAATTAAACAGGCAGGCCATATATTAAGCCCATATCATAGCAAATGCACCAACATCCAGAAAAAGTTCTGACTCCCTCAAAATTAAGTGACAAAGTGTATCCTTTAATAGTTTTCAAAGAGATTTCACTTACATGCACAATTAAACAGGCAGGCCATATATTAAGCCCGTATCATAGCAAATGCACCAACATCCAGAAAAAGTTCTGACTCCCTCAAAATTAAGTGACAAAACCAGTATCTATTATAACTTCTAACTCTGTCCCAACCAGATGACTCATGCAAATTGGACAACTGCCCAGACTGGTTCCTAAACTAATATAAGATCACCAGTTCCTCCTGGAAGCCTTTTATCAAAAGGAAATCAATAATTAAGAAGAACTTAAATTAATCAGTAATTTTTATTAATATGTTTTTGTAAAAGAAAAAGAAAAATCTGCATAAAGATAATACTAAGTTAAGATATGTCAAAATTTTTAAAATACCACTATATCATGGTCCAGGGAGAGGAAGGGATGTCCTTATAAAATACATCACTGGGAAAATTGGCAAAATTTAAATATGAACAGTAACTCAAACAACAGTATTGTGTCAATGTTAAATTTCCTGATTTTGATCAGTGTTAATGTGCTATGTCAGAAAATGTCCTTGTTTTTAGAAACTACATGCTAAAGGATCTAAAGGAATCCCAGGGGCATGATGTCCCTCGAGTGGTTCAGAATTTAAAAATTATACACATATATAGTGAAAAAGCAAATGTGACATAACGTGAAAAACTGGTGAATATGGATGAAGGGTAGCCAGGAGTTCTTATACTATTTTTGCAACCTTTCTGCAAGTTTAAAAATATTTCATAAAGAGTTAACTTTTCTTTAAATCCTAGAAGTAGTATTATGAGTTTACATTCACATAATAGAAAATATAGGTAAAAATAATCTTATGGGATTTTCATGTGGTTCCTAGAAATATGACATCTTAAAAACTGAAGATAGTCTTTTTCCAATGTTAGCAGCAGGTTGTTAACCCAGCCTGTCATTTGAATATAGAACAAAAAAGTCATTTGACCATGGAATAACTTCTTGCTCAGCTACACTTGACTTAGATGATCCAAAGAGATGCTTAGTTTCAAAATTGAGACTATGAATTTTTATCCACCATAGATAAAACATCACTGAGCAGCCTGTGTAAAGTCTAGCAGAAGAAAAACAATGCAACAAGAAATAAATACTTTAAGTGAAATATCCCATACATTCTGAGAGAGAAGTTTCTGGGATAGCTTTAATTATTTTGAAAGCTGGAAAATTAATGCAATAGAAATCAAATCATGGAAGCAGGCAAAAGAAATACTTTGGCAATAACTTTTAAGGAAGTTTCTCTACTTGATGGTAAAACACAGAAATAAGCAAAATGCAAAGAACACTAGAAATAAATCAAAGGCCTAGCAGCCATCATTCTATCAATGAATCCAAAACAATCCTCCAAATACTCATATTCAGCTTGTGACTTAGAAATACTTTACTTTTACACTGGGTTCACAAGTACACATTTACCTGCTTCAACTGCCTCTGTATCACAGTGAAATCACCATTGACATCAATGAGAAGGGTAATTTATTTTTATTCTAACAACAAACATCCTTCATCATTTTAAACTCTATACGAAATTCACTTTCACCTTCTGTTTGGTCTGAATTTTAATCAAAAAAAAAAAAAAAAAAAAAAACCTAGGGCTGGCCCTGTGCCTCACTTGGGAGAGTGTGGCGCTAGTAGCGCCGAGGCCACGGGTTTGGATCCTATATAGGGATGGCCAATGAGCTCACTGGCTGAGCGTGGTGCAGACAATACTGTGCCGAGGGTTGTGATCCCCTTACCAGTCAAAAAAAAAAAATTCTAAATTCCAGAATAGAACAACATAATCAAACATGAAGGGTAGTCCACAGTAGAACGGAATAAAAGACTAATTTAAGTTTGTTTTAGGCAACTGTAAAAGTAACAAAACCGGTAATTTAGGAACTATCAGGACATATTATCACAGTAAATTATTGTTACTTATTCCAATAATGTTACCTTTGTTAAAAACATTCTTGGCAATCTGCTTCTGAAAATGTTTCTAGTACCAGGCAAAAAGCCATACTACTTTATGGTCACTCCTCTTGGTACAAAAAAATGGGATCAACTAGTTCATTTTATCCATCTTATCCACCAGATTTGACATCTTATTAACTTGTAGTAGTCATTAAAAACCAACATTTGCCACTGAAGATATTTAAGTCACAATCTTCAAATGTAATTCCAATAATGCTCACATCTTTCCTGATATTATATTGGTTTTTTATCTTACTACTGTAGCTTTAGGTCATATTGAGATACAAGGTGCTCAGTTTCCCTGGGCTCAGGTTACAGGACACACGTCTGGGTTTCAAGCCATTCCCCAAGGTCTCAGGGCCCTCCTCTGGGGCCCTACCCTAGAGGAGAGTTACTGTTGCAAGTCGAACCAATTTTCGGACCAACGGGAGACCTCAGGGGGCTGACTTATGCAAATCCAGTAGCTGGGCATGCTCAGTAGGAAGGGGTTATATAACCCTAATGGCCAAGCAAGCTCAGTAAAATGGAATTTATTTTCATTAGATAGCGTAAATATGTATTAGATAGTGAGACTATAAAAGTTGAATCCCAGCAGAAGGCAGGGTTGTTGCTCACTTTCTCAGGGCCAACCCGCACTTTGCTGGCTGAGGTGTGTATGCTTTCTTTTGTATCAAACTTACTTTCAGCAAGTGGCTGCTCGTTCTCGAGCCAGCCTGCACTCTGTACTAGACTTTAAGGGGGCATTTCTTACTTTTGTATTGGACCTGGTGCAGACCCTGCTGGGTCTCTGGAGCTAGGCCACACTCTCCCTGTGAAATCTGTAACTTTTTTTTTTTTCCTTTTTGTCTTTTTTCGTGACCAGTAACGGGATCGCAACCCTTGGGGTCGCGCCCGTACCGCGACCGGCAACGGGATCGCAACCCTCGGTGTCGCGCCCGCACCACGCTCAACCAGTGAGCGGACTGGTCTCTATATGGGATCCGAACCCTCGGCGGGAGCGCCGCCGCACTTCCGAGCGCCGCACTCTACCGAGTGCACCACCGGGCCGGCCCTGTAACTCTTATTTATTACATTAAACCCATTCTTGCTTTCTACTGTGATTCTCCTCTTGAATTATTTCCTGTGGTGGAGTCAAGAACCTGGTAAGAGGATGAGGAGGGTTAAGTCCATCTACTGGGCCTTCACAGACCCCTTCTCCTCCAGCATCAATATATCGAAATATGATTTTTAATTTACCTCGAGTCTAAAATATATTTCTTGGCAAAAAAATTCCTTTTCCAATTCCATAATCTCAAGTTTTGTTTTCCTGTCTCTTTTACATCTGAATAGCTCAAAATTTTATTCATGCCTACTTCCTCATACAACTCTTACAACATATCAGGAAAAAACAAAGGATAACAGATGAGGAAGGGAAAACGAAGAAAACCAAAATGGAATGAAGGAAATTTTTGAGAGAGAAAGGGGGAGGGGTGAGGGAGGGGAGAGACAGACACAGACACACAAGCACACATGAATGCATGCACATGTGCGTTCACACACAAATTCACAAAATGTAATTATTTTTAAAGCTAGTTCTCAGATTAAAACAACAGTATATGTGTACATGGTTTTATTGGCTGCAACCTAAATTGTGATTGTCCGGATTATGACTAAAGACAGAAAGTAATGGTTAAAAAAACCCAAAAACCAAAAAGATTCTGTAATATCTTTTTTGTAACCCAAGAAAGCATTTATTTCCTGACTTCTTGTATTCAATAAGAAACTTCAGATTCGGGATTCTGAGAGCCACAATGTGATCTATATTCTAAATAATATTGAGCTGTATCAAGTTATTTTACTAATATAAAATTAAGTTGGTTAAAAAAAATAAAATTATGAGATAGAAAATAAATTTATTTTCTATTCAGAATAAATACTGTTTTCTTCAAATGGATTAAAAATTAATCATTTGGTATAAAACTAAACTAGATTCATCTTTGGAATAGCTAAAATGATATTTTAAATAGTATAGTTATAAACATGCATAAACTTAACCCAAACTCTTAAAATCAATTGTAAATCATTATATCCTTCTAAGTAATTGTGTTCTGAGATGTAGGAAGCAGAACACTTTATAACGACAAATATTTTTGATAGCTGACTCTAGTAGCTATAATTTTGATAAAGTGAAAAAATGGATCTAAACAGACTACTAAAAATTGGTATACATACTTGCATCTAGATTGGATTCTAAAGTGAGAATGCGTTGTTGTGTTTCCATGTTAAAGATGCTTGTATATCCTTTGCTGAATGATGCTACCATATGGCTTGGATCACTGCTCACTAGATCCACAGAGGCAGGGATTCCCAATTCTAAGAGTCAGAACACAACGAAAATAGCAGTTAAAGCATCTACTTGACAATGCACTTAAAATATAGAAAAACAAATAATGGCATGATTTCCTTAAGAAGTAAATAAGGATTCTCATTAGAATAAGAATTAGCTCATAACCATTTAATCAAGATTATTTCTTTTGTAACTTTTAGCCCTATTCTAAATTTTATTATCCTTATCTGTCCAGCAGGTATTCTGTTATCCAGCTAATACATTCATTGAATGCTTGTCTTTATTCAGAAAGCAAACGGAAAACATGTATAGACCACAAGTTTTGCTGCTTCTACCTCAACAGAGTGGCACAGTGGGAATTCTCCATTTAAAAAACCCATCTCATTAGGAATTTTAATTCTAGGAATTTTAATTCATCAAAAATATGATATTAAAAATGAAATTTTGAATTGTTATTTATTGTTAGAGTCATACAAATATCAAATGCAGGCAACTCATGTTATGATAGTCTGATAATAAAGATGGTAGATGTTACCATCTAGAATAGGTTAAAACTTGAAGCTTATAGAAACAGAATGAAATGTAAAAAATGAATATAATAATCTGATTTTTTACCATTTGGCTCAAAATCTAAATCAAGCTAAAAGTTAAAAACTGTGTGTACTGCAGAAGATATATTTTTGCCCAATGAGCAAATAAAAAAAGTGCTCAACATACTTAGCTACCAAAGAAACACAAAGTAAAACTAAAATGAAATGCCACTCCACACCCACCAGAATGGCTAAAATTAAATATAAATTGACAATACCAAATGTTGGTAAGGATTTAGGGCAACTGGAATTCTCATTCATTGCTGTCAGTAGTGTAAAATGGCACAACTGCTTTTGAAAAAATTTTGGTGATTTCACATAAAGTAAAATAAACACCCACCCTAAAGCCCAGCAATTCTACTTCTAGGTCTCTACATACCTATGATGAAAATACATGAATGTTCACAGAAGCTTTGTTCATAATAGCCAAAAAATGGAAACAACCCAAATGTCCATCAAGAGGTAAATAAATAAATTACGGCTTAATAAAATACTATTAAACAATAAAAAGAAATAAATTAACACAACATGAACTATAGAAACATTATAGTGAGAATAAAAAGCCTGATACAAAAGAGTACATACTGTATTATGTTAGTCATATGAAGTTTCAGAATAGACAAAACTAATCTACGATGAAAGAAATCACAACAGTGGGTATGTCTGGTTGGGAAGCGGAAGAGGAGATTGACGAGGACATGAAGAAACTTGAGGTGAAGAAAATGTTCTGTCTTGATCGGTGTGAGTTAAAGGAGTGTATTCATTATCAGACTCATTAAAATCTACCCTTAAGATCTGTGTTTTTCACTGTATATAAATTACATCTCAATTTTTAAAAATTTAAAATCTGAGTGTTCTTTCACCAAATACTATGCTGTTAAAAACTAAAGTTGGAAATTCAAACAGATATACTTTTCTTTTTTCAAAAAGCTTTCAAAATTAAACAGTAAGAGCTCATAGAATCATTTATTTACTTATGTGCTTGTTCGTTTGGCTTTTAGAATAAGACCTTTTATAAAAGATTCAGCAAAATTAGTTTTTAAAATATGTACCTTGATTATCACTAAATACACTTAGTGCTGGAGCAACCTCAGTTGTATTCCATAAACGCAGAGTGCCATCTGCTGAACAGGACAACAAACGCTGATGTGCTGCACTGTAAGCCAAACCCCAGACTGCATCCGTATGGCCTAGCAGAGGGCCTCTTAAAACAGAAGGGTCTATACAAAACAGCAAAAATGCAAAATCAGGAGAAAAAACAAACAAATCATAAAAATACTTAGAATCCAGAGGAAGTAAAGTATATAAAGAAAAGCCCCTGATAACCATATAAAATATTCCCTGGTTTGTTTTATCCTTCTGAAATGCTATAGTAATTAAAAGAAGGCTTGGAAATATACACATCGAGTTTAAAATTTAAATATTAAAAAGCAAATATTTTTCTCCTTAAAAAAATTAGGTATTTCCTTTCCCCTTCCTTTTGTCCTCTCATTTATCTAGATTTTTTTAAAGTATGTTAATACAAATAATTTGAATTTAATCGACCATTGGAGAAAACACAACTCATACTCCCTGATGAAGTGAACAGAGGTCCTCTGTTCTCCTCTGAACTCCTTCAGCACTTCAGCTATACCCCTTCTGGCCACTTTTCCCACTGTACAATGAATGGCAGTTATTCCTGGGAGAATAGTATTCATAATGGATGGGAATGGAGACCTACAGGTATCCCCAAATTCTCAAATAGCAAGAACTGAGATGTAGATGATGTGGATGTGGTAGAAGGGAGAGGGAGGCGGAGAGGGTTACTTAGCATAGAATCATAATAAAAGTTACATTAGAAACTTCAATTATTAACCCTCATAATGATTCTATAAAGTGGTACTTTCAAGATGGCTCACAGACGTTAAGTCTGGAAATGCCAATGGTGTTATCTGTCTTATATCCTCTCTCAGACACACCATAAAATATTTATCGAAGACACTGTGTGTCAGGCACTATGCTCTATGCTGGGGCCACACAAATGACTAAGACACAATACTACCCCTGTCCTCAAAAGACAATGGTGGAAGTATAATAATAGTGACAGACACCAGTAACCACGGAGAGTAACTGGGATGAGTGAAAACTTCCTGAAGAGGGTGACACTTAGAGTACACAGATGTCAGCCAGAGAACAGAGGAAGATGTGCCTGGCAAGGAGGCAGCACCTATAATCCCAGAAAAAAACAACATGATACGTTAGGAAATTTACAAGCAATTCAGTAATACTCAAGGGTGCAGTGTGAGGCAGGAAGTGGATGAGATGAGGGCAGCCAATTTATGGTGAGATTTCTATGACATATTAAAGAACTTAGAAATTATCCTGAAAAAAACAGGGAAGCACTGAAGAAAGGAGCAGTAAGGTCACTTAAGTGTTTAATAAGGTAACCTTGACTGCAGTATAGAAAGCAGATTGGACAGAATCAAGACAAAGGCAAGGAGCCTGGTTCCACAGACTGGAAGAGTGATGATAAAGACCTAAGCTAGGGCAGTGGTAAAAGGGCCAGAGCAGGACTAATTCCAGAAATATTTAGGGAGTTATACTAAAAAACTAGGTAACTAATAAGCTGTGGATAGTATGATAAAACAAGGAATCAAGGATAACTCTCAGGTTTCTAGTTTGGGTAACTCTGCTAGTGCCACCAAATAAAATAAAAGAATATGGAGGAGAAAAAAACACAGAATATGTTGGGATTTACAGACAATGAGACAGCCACTTTGAAATTTCCTGTAAGCAGTCTGAAGCTTAATGAAGAGATTTATGAGTCAATATAATACAAAACTACACAAGTAGATTCAATCTCCCAAAGAATGTTTGTACACCACAAAGAATAAGATAGGGTCTGGGCCTTGATAAATGCCAATATTTAAGGTGAGAGAAATAAATGGAGTTCATGAAAAACAGAAAACAAAAATTGCCACAAAGTGTCAAAAAAGCCAACAGAATGAACAAATTTCAAAAAGGATGGAGTTAGCTGTCTCAAATACAGCCAATAAATCTAGTAAAATAAGGATTGTAAAATACCCTAGGATCAGGAAATCAGATAGTCACTGACAATCTTTTTATATTTAAGTGATGGAGCCAGAAGTCAAAATGCAAAGGGATGATGCACAGGGAAAGGACATGTATTTAGTAACTAGTACTTATGTTTTCTAGACAACACCATCAAAGAAACAAAGACGATGAGGGAAAGGGAGAGACTAAACAGCAGCCAGAGAGGGAAAGGGGGTCAAAAAAAGACTTCCCCTTACCTAGGATGGGAAAAAACCTGTACTAATTTATATGCTTAGAGGATGGAGAGACAGCAAAGAGAGTGAGGATTAATTAAAATGTGGGAAAGGGAGAGGAAAGGGAAAGATTAAAGTATGGTCCCAAAGGAAACTAGAAAGAATAAGGTCAAGAACAAAACAGGAAGGGCTGGCCTGGGACAGAATGAGGGACAGTTGGTACTCTGGGAGAGAAGTAAAGGAAGGCATGGATCTGATAAATTTGTAAGAGAATTGGGGGAGGAAGAGGGGGGTTACTTTTCACAAAATATATGTTTAATGCTCATTAAATAAATGATGTGGAAAGTTTTTGTTTACTGAATTTCTTATCTTTAGTTAGGTTTGGTGGCAAAATTAATTTAAAGTGATAATGAAATCAAAATATGCTTTTATGACAAATATGACATTTTAAACCATTCTAGAACTTAAGAGAAAACCAGGACAGCGAATTCCTAAACAGTTTTGCAAGAGAATTTGGGGTAATATCTAGTAATAGATTATAATATAGATTTATAATTTATGGTACTGTTTCCAAGATTAAAAGGGCATTCAACTTATGAGGTCTTTTAAGTATTTTGGTGTCACGGACATTAAAAGCTGTTAGCTTCTACATCTCTCCAATAATTGATCAAGGGGATGATGCCAACATATTATCCTTATATAAACTATGGAAAAAATGTGTAAGAAGAAAACATTTTATTCTTTCAGACCTTTGGGGAATCACATACCGTAAGAGTCATAGGGATCGATGTTGGGATTAGTGGTATTCCAGCCCTGGATCAGTCCATCAGTACCACCACTGTAACACTGCTCACCATTGCTGCTCATTACCACACAAAGCACTGGACCTCTGGGAGATTTTTTAAAAAAATCAATTGCTATTCTCAAAAATGCATCTGATAATATGATTGTTAAAAATAAGAATGCTTAATTACTCAAATGGCTTTCTACCTATTTTTTACAATAGATAAAAATATTATCAAAACACTGTTCATTTTTCTTCCTCTGCTAAACCAGAGGTTGGTAAACTACAGCCTGCAGGCCCAATCCAACCAGTGGTCTGTCTCTGTACAGTCCTAAAGCTAAGAATGGTTTTTACATTTTTAACAGGGAATAAAACAAAACAAAACAAAAATTAAGAATATGTAACAGAATACTGCCCGCAAAGCCTAAAAAATATTTACTATCTGGTCCTTTATATAAAAAGTATGCCAATCGCCGTGCTAAATCAAGTGGACACATTCCTTATGCTCACACGGAAACAGGAAAAGCATGCGATATGTGATCACAATAGAAAAAATTCTCAAATATTTTTATCTAGGTAATCTTTAAGGAAAAAAATATCAAGATTTCTAATATTTAAACCTAATTGCCTCAATTTTATTTTAAGATATATATACACACATCATTTAAACATACAAATAAAATCTAATTTCAGAAAGGATCCTTATTTGGTAGCTATAAACTTGTTTTAGCATTATACTATCTGACAATTTCTTTTACATTTACAAAAAAACCACTACTAAATACAAAAATACATAACACAAATATATAAGTGGAAAAAAAAAAATCCTAACAGGCTGTTTTACAATGATGATGTTTAAAATAAAGAAAAACAACCACTACTAAATACAAAAATACATAACACAAATATATGAGTGGAAAAAAAAAAATCCTAACAGGCTGTTTTACAATGATGATGTTTAAAATAAAGAAAAAGCACATACTTACTTATGAGCCCTGAATGTATAGATAGGCTCTACATCAAGAGAAGTACTCCTAAATCAGACAGAGAAGACAACTTTTACCACTCTAAGCTCCAGTAGTAAACAGTATAATTGAATATATGTCATAAAATTGCCTTTAGAAATAGAAACACTATGGTAATATACCATTCTCAACGACATCATGCATAAGAAAGCTTACTTAACACCAATCACATTTTCATGGGATCAAGAAACAAGATCCAGTCACCTACTGCTGGACATTTAGGTTGGTTACATCACTTGGCTATTGTAAATAGAGCTGCGATAAACATGGAAGTGCAGGTTTCCCTTCAACACTATGATTTCCATTCCTCTGGATATATCCCCAGCAGTAGGATTACTGGATCATATGGCAGTTCTACTTGTAGTTATTTGAGGAACCTCCATACTGCTCTCCATAATGGCTGTGCTAATTTATAGTCTCACCAAGAATGCAGAAAGGGAGTTGTCTTATAATAATTCACTAAGCTACACAACTGTTTAGTGTGGTTTTTACCTCTGTATATACAATATAAAATTACAATATAAAGTAAAATACAAACAGATATTTAAAAAATCAAAGCTACTGTGTGAAGAATAAAATAGAAATAGAGGTGGAAACAGACCAGACTGATCATATATTTTGTTGATAAAGGTAATGGAATCTATTGATGGACTGAGTATAAAAGAAAGATAAAGAATTCTCCAGAGGTAGAAAGTGGGGTACAAGGAGGAATTGGTAAAGGGACATGTGAAAAGATTATATTGTATAATGTTGAATATACTAATTATCCTGATTTGAGCATCACATATTACACACAGGTAATGATAATCAATTCTGTACCCCACAGATACGTACAAATCAATTATGTTACAATTTTTAAAAAAACAAAAAACAAAGTCCTTGTTTAGTAATAATACCTTGTTACAGTGCTTTTAACATTGTCATAATCTATTTGACAAGAAGTGAGAGACAGCTTCAATCAGGAGAAACAACATGGGCTTTGAAGGAATACATTTCTGAATTCAATTTCCACTTCTGTTATTAACTGGCTAATTTTGGGCAAGTTATTTAATCTTTCAGAACTTCAGATTCCTAATGGAAATAACACCAAATACTCACGGGGTTAAATGAGATTCTACAATTTAAAAACCAGCCTAGGACAGAACCATGCACATAATAGGGTTTCAACAAATGATACTTTAATTTCCTTTCCTTTCCATGAAGATTAATACGTCTGTCCTTGATACTGTAGAAAATGTCCACATTATCAGTTTATTCACTATTCAGAACACCACTATGGGTACAATATACTACCTAATACTGGCCACAAATGTTAGTAGAAACCATATTTAAAGTCAAGTAAAGGTTGAGTATTTCTAATTTGAACTTAGAAATGCTCCAAAATCTGAAACCTTTTGAGCACCAACATGAAGCTCAAAGGAAATGCTCACTGAGGGATTTCAGATTTTTGGATTAGGAATGCTCAACCAGTATGTATTCTACAAATATTCTCAAATCAGAAAAAATTTGAAATCCAAAACACTTCTGGTCCCAAGCATTTCAGATAAGGGATATTCAACCCATACTTACCATTTTCTATAGTGTATTGTAGTTATTTACAGGAATGTTATCTCTTCTCAAGTCATTTCCAAGTTTTAAGTTCAAAGGTAAACAGGCCACTGTTATTTACATGTGAAGGTATTATTGTTAAGCTACCACCAGCAAGAAACTTGTTTCATTATTCTTCTAAATTTTAGTCAAGAATATGTAAGACATTCACATCTCTGGCTAGACCCATAACTAGCATATTGTTACCAAAAAACTAGAAAGGCAAAAGGCACAATGTCTAACCAGGAAATAATTTCACTCTAATGAAAATACCTGATCCATGAGAGGGTCTATTTGGTTTTAGCAATATATGCTTGAGCTATCTGATGCAGACTGATAAATCAAGTATTTTATCTACCATATGTATGACTCATAGCATGAGTGCCAATGATCTCTTTTAAACTGGGCAACAGATTTCCTCTACCAGTAGTAAAAATTTCTATAACCTCCTCCGTTTGATGTTTAGTTATATTCTTGTAATAACAAAAGTGCCTGACACTGCAGAGGGTCCTTTGCTGACAGACACTGGTTCTGGACTACGTGACCCTAGGAAGGAGAGCAGCTTAAATAAGAGAACCCCACCAAAAAGGACTGGGTCTAGTTTGGCTACTAATAAAAGGGTTTATACTAACTCATGTCTGTCCATGCTCAGACAGGAACAAGGGGCAAAGGCAAGCACTAGCAGTTAAAAGATGGCAACAATGTGGGCTTTTATTTTTTATTTCATTTTATTTATTTTTTAATTGTAACATAGTTGATTATATGTATTTGTGGGGTACAGATTTGAATATTATACATGTGTACAATATGTGGTGATCAAATCAGGATAATCAGTATACTCATGTTTACAAAATGTAATCAATCTTTGTGACCTTTAACTCATTTCTGGTCAACCTCCAACCCCCTTCCCTTTCCCACCTCTAATAACCACAGTACTGTTCCTTTGTTTGAAAGTTCAATGTATTATTGTGATTCACTCCTTTTCTCTCTTTTCTTTCCTTTCTTTTCTTTCTTTCTTTCAACTCCCACTTTTGAGTGAGGACATGCGGTATTTCTCTTTCTGTGCCTGGCTTATTTCACTTAACATAATTTTCTCCAAGCTCATCCACATTGCTGCATATAGCAGAATTTCATTCTTTTTTTTTCCACAGCACAGTAGTATTCCATCGAGTATATATTCCATCGAGTACCACGTTTTCCTTATCCAGTCATCTCCTGATGGACATTTAGGTAGGTTCCAACTCTTGGCTACTGTAAATAGAGCTGCAATAAACATGGGAGTGCAGGTACCCCTTTGACATGATGATTTTCACTCCTTTCGGTATATACCAGGCCATGGGATTGCTGGATCATATGGCAGTTATATCAGTAGTTGTTTGAGGAACCTCTACAATGTTTTCCATAATGGCTGCACTAATTTACAGTCCCACCAACAGTGTAGGAAAGTTCCTCTTTCTCCACATTCTCGTCAGCATTTGTTACTCTCTGTCTTTTTGATAACAGCCAGTCTACTTGGGGTGAGATGAAAGCTCAAAATGGTTTTGATTTGTATTTCCCTGATGCTAAGTGATATTGAGCATTTTTTCATGTGTCTGTTGGCCATTTGTATATCTTTGAGAAATGTCTATTCAGCTCCTTTGCCCATTTTTAATTGAGTTGTTTACTTTCTTACTGTTGACTTGAACAACGGTGCCTTTCAGTCTAGACATATTGGTGTGTATGAAAAGTACCTAAAGGCTCAAGGCCAAAAGATAAGACCAAAGAGAGGTCCCTCACCTATCTCAATCAGCCCTTTACTCCACTCTGTGAGTCCAAACCAAGTAAACAATGGGGCAGAGTGGGGGTGAAGGTTTGATGATTTTCAACATGTCTATACCTCTTTAACAGAACGGCAGAAACCTTCAGTGTAAATAAAAAGCGACCCAACGAAGACAACCATTCAAAACGCTGTACATATAAGGACTGTGTATTAGTCCATTTCTGTTGCTTATAACAAAATACTTGAAACTGAGTGATTTATAAAGAAAATGAAATTTATTGCTCACAGTTTCTGAGGCTGGGAAGTCCAAAGTCCAGGGAACACATCTGGTGAGAACCTTGGTGGTGGTGACAGCGACAGCAGAGTATCACATTGCAAAAATGGTGGAGCAAAGAGTAAGAGAGAGATTCTCTTCTCTTCTCTTCTCTCTTCTTTTAAAGCCCTCAGAACCACACCTCTGACCACCATTTTTAATCCATTCACTATGGCATGGTCCTACAATCTAATCACCTCTTTAAGGCTCCACCTTTCAATTACCGTAATAGGACTTCCTACCCTCTTGACAGTCACAGTGGGGAATCAAGCTTTTAATACCCAAAACTTGGGGAACACAATTCAATCCAGATCATTCTGCCCCTGGCCCGCAAAGTTTATGTCCTTCTCACAGATAAAACATTCATTCCATCCCCAAAGTCTTAACTTGTTTCAACTCAAAAGTCCAAAGTCCAAAGTCCCATTTGGAAAATCAAAACAAGTTATCTACTTCCAAGATACAATGGGGGGACAAACACAGGGTACATATTCTCATTCAAAAAGGGAGAAAAAGGCCAAAAGAAAGGGGTAACAGGTCCCAAACAAGTCCAAAACCCAGCAAGGCACGCATTGAATCTTAAAGCTAGCAAATAATGTAACTTGACTCAATGTCCAACGTCCTCTGCATGCTGATGGGGGGGGGGAGGGGTCGTCCCCAAGTCCTCAAGCAGCTCCACTCCTATAGTTTTCCTGGTCTAAGGCCATGCTTCAGCTCTCCCAGGCTGGCGGTGCATGGACAGGTCTGAGGTCTCCATGGCAGTCCCACTCTCGTGGCTTCACTAAGCATGGTGCTGTTGGGGTTTTTCTGCTGCAACTCTAACCCCATGTTTCTGCTCAGCATTGCTCTAGTGAAGGCTCTATGCAGTGAATCTGCCCCTGTGATGGATCTCTTCCTTGGCCCCCAGACTTTTCCATATATCCTTTGAAATTGGGGTGGAGGCTTCCAAGCCTTCATAGCTCCAGCATTCTGTGAGCCTGCAGACCTAACACCATGTGGACGTCACCAAAGCTTCTGGCTTGTATCTTTCAAAGCTGCAGGTCCAGCCATGCCTTGGGGCCAAGTTAGCCATGGCTGGAGCAGCCAAAGCAGCTGGGGTGCTCGTGCCAGAAGCAGCTTCCCAAGATAGCCCTGAGCAGCGAGCCCATGGAGGGTACCTCAGGCCTGTTCCCCAAGACCATTCTGTCTCCCTAGGCCTTTGGGCCTGAAATGGAAGGGCTGGCACCAGAGGCTTCTGCAATGCCTTGAGGGTCTTTTCCCCTTCTCTTGACAATCTCTTTCTTTTGTGCTAACCTTAGTGTCACTGTATTTTTCTTCTGAAAATGCTCTCTGCTTCTCTACCACATGGCCAGGCTGCAAATTTTCCAAATTTTTACATTCTGCTTCCCTTTTAATTCTGGCTTTATGTTGTGACTTTGCCACCATAACTCAGTGCAGGCTGTTAAAAAGTAGCTATGCAGCTTCTTTAATGCTTTGCTGCTTAGAAATTTCTTCTGCCAAATACTCTGGTTCACAACTCCTAAATTCCAACTTCCATAAAGTCTTAGGGCACGGACAGAATGCAGCCAAATTCTTTGCCAGTTCACAGCAAGGGTGATCTCTGTCCCAGTTTCCAATAAACTCCTTCTTACTTCTACTTGAGACCTCCTTAGAATGGTCTTTAGTCCATATTTCTACCAGCATTCTGCTTGCCACCACGTAACCTGTTTCTAAGACATTCCAAAGTTTCCCCTAATCTTACTGTCTTCTTCTGAGTTCTCCAAACTCTTCCAACCATTGCCTAACACCCAGTTCCAAAGCTGTTTCTACATTTTCAAGTATTTGTTATAAGCAACTTCCCACTTCTCTGTTACCAATTTTCCATATTAGTCTGTTTCTGTTGCTTATAACAAAATACATGAAACTCGGTGATTTATAAAGAAAATGAAATTTACTGCCCACAGTTTCTGAGGCTGGGAAGTCCAAAGTCCAGGGAATACATCTGGTGAGAACCTTGGTGGTGGTGACAGTGACAGCAGAATATCACATTGCAAAAATGGTGGAGCAGAGAGCAAGGGAGAGATTCCTCTCTCTTTTTTTAAAAGCCCTCAGAACCATGCTCCTGACCATCATTTTTAATCCATTCACTATGGCATGGTCCTATGATCTAATCACCTCTTCAAGGCTCTACCTTTCAATTACCATAATAGAATTTCTCACCCTCTTAACAGTCACAGTGGGGAATCAAGCTTCTAGTACATAAAACTTGGGGGAACACAATTCAATCTATATCAGACTGTAATCAGCCCTCTCAAACCAGAGGAAATCATCAGATAATACCATTTCTTCCTATGTGTCAATTTTCCAACCTAACATTAGATTAGATTGTACGAAGGAAAAAAACAGTCTTTCTTCTGTCAAGAAGAAAGAACTAGAAGAGACATTTGGGAAATTTAATAGCAAATAATAAAATACATATTTTTCTGTGGAAAAACAGTTAATTAAAATATTCAAATAAAGTTAGAGTATTCTCACTTTTTGGCTGGGGCTGTTTTCTGCAAATTCCACATTTTTAACGTGTGATCCTCTGATGCTGTTATCAAAACAGGCTCAATGGGGTGGAAAGCAAGGGCTCGGATGCCATCAAAGTGACTTCTTAATGTAAACTTAGGGTTCCATGTCTTTCTCAATGCATCTTTATTGTTTGCTATCTATTAAAGAAACAAAACAAACACACTCATACATTTAGTTCAGGATAGGAAAAAACACTATATTTCAAAATAATTCTTGCTGATTTGTCATGAAACCATCACATTTTGCAACTTTCAAAACAATATAATTTTTAAACGTAAATAACCAAACCAATAGACAAAATCAGTAATATCTCAACAGTGGTTTTCTTTGAAGAAACATTAAAGGTATAATAAGAAAACGGTCAATATAATTCAATATAAAAAGCCAGTGGATCAATTAATAACGTAAAATAAATCTTCACTAGAATGCTTAAAAAAAACAAATAAAAAAGCAAAGTACTTCTACCTAAATTGTAGTATACACAGTGTAATTTTAGGTAAGAATTGAAAAACTAAGATATATTTAAACCTCCTAACATTTTAGAATATGATCATACTTTTGAAATCTTCAATACTGTACTTTCTAATAGGAGCTACATTTTCTTCATCAAACTGGAAACGAAGTTTATAAACTAGAAACATAAAATGTTAAAAATGGAAAAGACAATCAGATGCCATTACATTCTTTTTCCATGGGAGCTCCATCTCAACAACTGAAAAAAACACACTATTTTTTTTCATTTCAACTAACAGGAAAGTTGAAGAGGTAGCTGGCATTTGACTTTACACTAGCACCATGTATGAACTCTTCATACTGCAAAGCTAACAAGCAAACTAGGTTTAAACAAGATAAATATGTTCAGAAATATATAACAGGAATGACATACAAGAAGGATGAGAATTAAATAGATTTAAAAGTATTCTAAGGTCTTTGAATATAAAATTTTGATAAGGATGTGTGGCAATCTCTAAGGTAGCCACTAAAATTAGAGTAGCAAAAGAGTGTATAAACTCCAAATATAGAGAGGGGTGGAGGGCTGAATAACAAAAAATAATCTCAAAATAGGCAAAAATAGGAGAAAAAGAAAAAGAATAGGTGGCACAAATAGATGGTGGACTTATAGAAATATATCAGTAATTACTGTAAAAAGAAATGGACTGAATGCTCCAATTAAAAGACAAAGGTTGTCAAATATTGGATGAAAAAGGCAAAACTCAATTAAATGGTGTTTACAAAAACAAATGTAAAATATAAGTATGCATAAACATAAAAATAGAAATGATCTTTAAAAATCTGCATCATAGGTTTGGAAAATGGAGTGCAAGGAGCCCCTTTAGATTAAAAGATTATTGTGACCAGGGCTCAGTCTAAGGCCTGGAGGGAAGCGCACACAGCCCAGCAGCCACCGAGGTGAGCAGAGACCTTTGTGGCACCAGGACCCAGTCTAAGGCCCCAGAAGGAAAGGAAGCACACACAGCCCAGCAGCCACCAAGGTGAGCCAAGACCTGCATAGCACTAGGGTCCAGTCTAAGGCCCTGGGGTGGGGAGGGAATCACACATGGCCTAGCAGGCACTGAGGTGAGTTGAAACCTGCACAGCACCAGGGGCTCAGTCTACAGCCACAGAAAGCTAGAACAGGAGCCAAGATGGTGTAATATAGATTCCGCCACAGCTTCTGTCACCACAAAGACAGTTCACCACCACAGTAGCAGCCAGGGCCACTCTACAAGCAACCTGCCACTCACTTAACTACACTGATATAAGAAGAGTCACCAGTAGAGCCTACAAACAGAGGAGGAAGTCTTTATCCTCATAGCCAACCCCAAAGTAACAGAAGAAGCAAGTCATCTACCAGATGACCAAACATCAATGAAAAAATACTAGAACTACAAACAAACAAAAAGATATGACACCACCAAAGGAATACAGTAATGCTCAAATTCCAGACCCCATAGAACAGGGAATCCTTGAAATGTCTGAAAAATAATTCCGAGCAATGATCTTAAGAAAGCTTGAAGAAATTAAAAAAGACTCAATTAGAGAACACAAGGAAACAAGAAAAAATATTCAGAATATGAAGGAGGAAATTTACAAAAAGATTAATACCTTAAAAAAGAATGTAGCAGAACTCCTAGAGATATTCACTTAACGAAATAAAAAACACAACAGAGAGCTTAAGCAGCAGGCTAGAGCAAGTAGAAGAAAGAATTTCAGATCTCAAATACGCTCTTTTCAAAATAACCCAGGCAGACAAAAAAAAGGAAAAAAGAATTAAAAATAATGAGGAAAATCTAAGAGAGATAGCAGACAACCTCAAGCACTCTAACATCCCAATTGTGAGTATTCCAGAAGGGGAGGAGAAAGGAAAAGGTACTGAAAACGTATTCAAGGAAATAATACCAGAAAACTTCCCAGGGGTAGGGAGAGATGAAAACCTTCAGATCCAGGAAGCTCAAAGTTCCCCAAACAGATTTAATCCAAAAAGATCGTCTCCAAGAAATATTATAGTCAAATTTGCAAAGCTCAAAGACAAAGAGAGAATTCTAAAAGCAGCAAGAGAAAAGCATCAAGTCACCTATAAGGGAACCCCTTAGAGACTAACAGCAGACTTCTCAACTGAAACCCTACAGGCCAGAAGAAAGTGGAATGATATATTCAAAACACTAATAGAAAAAAATTGCCAGCCAAGAATTCTTTACCCAGCAAGTCTCTCCTTCAGAAATGAGGGAGAAATAGTGTATTTCCCAGACAAACAAAAATTGTGGGAGTTCACCACCACATGACCAGCCCTGCAAGAAATTCTCATCTGGAATCTGAATAATGAATGTCACTACCAAGGATACACAAGAAAGAGCAAAACCTGCTATTAAAACAAAAATGCCAGTGAGAAAGAGCAAGAAGCTAAATCATGCCATCTCAAATATCTGACTAACACTGAAAAAAAAATAAAAGGGAAGTAAGGATTAAAAGATGTTTGGGCCGGCCCGGTGGCGCACTGGATAGTGTGCCGCTTGGGAAGTGCGGTGGCGCTCCCGCCCGAGGGTTCAGATCCCACATACAGACCGGTTCCCGCTCACTGGCTGAGCGAGGCGCGGGAGCAACACCGAGGGTTGCAATCCTGTTGCCGGTCCCGGTCCGGTACGGGGGCGACACTGAGGGTTGCGATCCGTTGCCGGACACGGAAAAAGACAAAAAAAAAAAAGATGTTTAAAACATCTAAACAAAAAGCAATGACAGGAATTAAACAATATCTGTCAATAACCACCCTAAATGTGAATGGATTAAACTCCCCATTCAAAAGGCACAGATTGACTGATTAAAAAGGTAGACCCAAGTATGTGCTGTCTTCAAGAGACCCATCTCACATATAGAGACACATACAGACTAAAAGTGAAGGGATGGAAAAAGATATACCATGCAAATGGAAACCAAAAACAAGCAGGAGTAGCTATTCTAATATTGGATAAAATAGACTTTAAACCAAAAAACATAAAAAGAGACAAAGAAGAGACAATGATAAAAGGATCTATCCAGCTAGAAGACATAACAATCATAAATATATATGCACCCAATACTGGAGCACCCAGATATATAAAGCAAACACTTTTAGACCTAAAGAAAGAAATAGGCCCTGATACGTTAATACTGGGTGACCTGAACACCCCTCTCTCAGTATAGGACAGATCTTCCAGGCAACAAATCAACGAAGAGACACAGGATTTAAACTACATGTTAGACCAACTGGTCCTGGCACATATATGCAGAACACTTCACCCAACAATTAAAGAATATAATTTCTTCTCATCAGCTCATGGAACATTCTCCAGGATAGGCCACATATTAGGTCACAAATCTAGCCTCAGCAAATTTTTAAAAGCTGAAATCATTCCAAGTATCTTTTCAGACCACAATGGACTAAAATTGTTAATTAATAATAAGCGGAACTCTGGAAACTATACAAATACATGGAAACTAATTAATAGGCTCCTGAACAACCTATGGGTCAAGAAGAAATTAAACAAGAAATCAAAAAATTTCTAGAAACTAATGAAAATAAAGATACATCATACCAAAACCTGTGGGATACTGCAAAAGGAGTACTAAGAGGCACATTTATTGTAATAAGTGCTTACATAAAAAGAACGGAAAGACTTCAAATAAACCACCTAACACTATGCCTCAAAGAACTTGGAAAAACAAAAACAATCCAAACCTAAAGGCAGTAGATGGAAAGAAATAATTAAGATCAGAGCAGAACTAAATGAAACAGAGACCCAAAAAACAATAGAAAAGATCAATAAAACAAAAAGTTGTTTTTTGAGAAGATAAATAAAATAGACAAACCATTAGCTAGGTTAACAAAAAAAAAAAATAGAGAAGACCCAAATAACAAAAATAAGAAATGAAAAGGGAGACATTACAACCAATACCACAGAAATACAAAGAATCATTAGAGACTATTATAAACAACTTATGACAACAAATATGAAAATCTGGAAGATATGGATAAGTTACTAGACACATACAAACTACCAAGACTGAACCAAGAAGAGAGAGAAAACCTGAACAAACCAGTAACAAGCAAGGAGATTGAAGCTGTAATTAGTAATCTTCCTACAAAGAAAAGTCTGGGTCCAGATGGCTTTACAGCTGATTTCTATCAAACTTTTAAAGAGGAGTTAACACCAATTCTTCTCAAACTATTCGAAACAATTGAAACAGAAGCTACTCTACCAAACTCATTCATACCAAAACCAGATAAAGACACAACAAAAAAAATTACAGGTCAATATCTTTGATGACCCTAGATGCAAAAATCCTAAATTAAAAATCAGCAATCAGAATACAGCAACATATTTAAAAAATTATACTCTATGATCAAGTGGGATTCATCCCAGGGAAGCAAGGATGGTGTTCAAAATCAATAAATATGATACATCACATCAACAAACTCAAGGACAAAGATTATATGATTATCTCATTAGATGCTGAAAAAGCATTTGACAAAATTCAACATCCCTTCGTGATAAAGACTCTCAACAACTTAGGTATAGAAGGAAAATATCTCAACACAATAAAAGCCATTTATGACAGGCCCACCACCAGTATCATTCTGAATGGGAAAAAAGTGAGAGACTTTTCCTTAAGAACAGGAACAAGACAAGGATGCCCACTCTCACCACTTCTATTTAACACAGTACTGGAGGTACTAGCCAGAGCAATCAGGCAAGAGAAAGAAATAAAGGGAATACAGATTGGAAAAGATGAAGTCAAATTTTCCCTATTTGCAGATGACATGATACTAGTATACATTGAAAAACCTAAAGGCTATCAAAGAACTCCTAGAGCTGGTTAATAACTTCAGTAATGCTGTAGGATACAAAATAAATGCCCCCAAATCAGTTGCATTTATATACTCAAATAATGAACTAAAAGAAAGTGAAATAAAGACAGTAAGCCCATTTACAATTGTCACACACAAAAACAAAAATACCTAGAGATCAATCTAACCAAGCAGTTGAAAGACCTCTACAATGAGAACTACAAACCACTTCTGAAAGACATTAAAGAAGACATAAAAAGATGGAAAGATATTCCATGCTCTTGGATTAGAAGAATTAACATTGTGAAAATATCTATACTACCCAAAGTGATCTACAGATTCAATGCAATCCCCATCAAAATACCAATGACATTCTTCACAGAAATGGAAAAAACAATCTTCATATGGAACAACAAAAGACCCCAAATAGCCAAAGCAATTCTGAGCAAAAAAAAATAAAGCTGGAGGCATAACACTACCTGACTTCAAATTATCCTACAAACCTATTGTAACCAAAACAGTATGGTACTGGTATAAAAATAGACATTCAGACCAGTGGAGTAAAATTGAGAATCCAGAAATCACCTCTCAGGCTTACAGCCATCTGATATTGGACAAAGGCAACAAAAATCTACACTGGGGAACAGACTGCCTCTTCAACAAGTGGTGCTGGGAAAAATGGATATCCATATACAGAAGAATAAAACTAGATATGCACCTCTCACCATACACTAAAATCAACTCAAAATGGATTAAAGACAAGTATAAGACCTGAAATTGAAACATTCCTAAGGAAAAATATAGGTGAAACACTTCAGGAACTAGGTCTGGGCACAGACTTTATCAACGTGAGCCCAAAAGCACAAGCAGTAAAAGAAAAAATAAACAAATGGGACTATATCAACCAAAAGCTTCTGCACAGTAAAGGAAACAATCAACAGAGAGAAATGACAATCTACAGAGTGGGAGAAAATTTTTGCTAACTATGCATCCCACAAGGGATTAATATCCATAATATACAAGGAACTCAAGCAATTATACAGTAAAGAAACAAATAACCCAATAAAAAAATGGGCAAAGGAGCCGAATAGACATTTTTCAAATGTATGTCTAGGAAGACATACAAATGGCCAACAGGTACATAAAAAAATGCTCAACATCACTAGTCACCAGGGAAATGCAAATTAAAACTACATTGAGATACCACCTCACCCAGTTAGACTGGCTATAATCAAAAAGACAGTGAATAACAAATGCTGGCGAGGGTATGGAGAGAAGGGAATGCTCCTACACTGTTGGTGAGACTGTAAATTAGTACAACCACTATAGAAAACAGTATGGAGGTTTTTCAAACAACTACAGATAGATCTTCCATATGATCCAGCAATCCCACTTCTGGGTATATACCCAGAGGAATGGAAATGATCAAGTTAAAGGGATACCTGCACTCCCACATTCATCACAGCTCTGTTTACAATAGGCAAGACATGGGATCAACCTAAATGTCCATCGATGGATGACTGGATAAGGAAACTGTGGTATATATACACTATGGAATTCTACTCTGCCATAAAAAAGATGAAATTCTCCCACTTGCAACAACACAGATGAGCCTGTAGAAACTTACAGTGAGTGAAATAAGCAAAGCACAGAGGGATAAATACGACATGTACTCACTCATACATGGGAGCTAAGAGAGAAAGAATGAAGTAAAGAAAGACCACAGTAGTGCATTGGAATTGCAGAGGAAGAGAACATTCTTTGGGCTACAAAGTGGAGTTGGGGGGAGAGGGGGAGGGAGGTTGGGGATAATTAGGTGGGGGACACGGGGTACAAATCTAATTTGTGGTAATGGGTATGCTGCCTGTATGAATCTGGCCCTCACATCATGGGCATGAGGGGTGACAATTAGCTTTGTATCTCATGAATATTCATAACCAATAAAAAAATAATAATAATAGTAATAAAGGTTACTGTAGTTCTAGGTGAGGAAAAAATGGACGAAGATGGGAAGTGAAAAGAAGTATATGGATTTAGGCTGTTTTGGGAAATAATAACCAAAAGACTTACTAATGGACTTAGCACAGACAGTGGGAGTTTTTGGCTTGTAGGAGGAGGAATGGGTAATAAGGGTTCCTCTTTGGCGTGCTTCTTTATAATACCCATGGTTTGCTTAGGCATCCATCTTACATCCCCCACATGGTATGCTTGTTGCCGGGGCTATATTGCATTCTCCAACAGAGATAATGAACTATCAAAAGGAAAGGATTTGGGGCCGGCCCGGTGGCGCACTGGAGAGTGCGCCGCTTGGGAGCGTGGTGGCGCTCCCGCTGAGGGTTCGGATCCCATGTGGAGACCGGTTCCCGCTCACTGGCTGAGCGCGGTGTGGGCGCAACACCGAGGGTTGTGAGCCTGTTGCCGGTCCCCGGTACGAGCGCAACACCGAGGGTTGCAATCCCGTTACCGGTCAGTAAAAAAGACAAAAAGGAGAGAAAAAAAAAAAAAAAAGGAGAGGATTTTAATGAACTGATAAGAGAGATTATAAATACTTTAACCTATGAAATAAGCAACTATTTCTCTGACATTAGTTAATCTCTCAAATTATCTATTGAGAGGAGCAATTATAAATGCATATATAAAACTGTGTTTAGAATTAAGTAAATGCATACACAAAGATACAAAGATTCGTTCAGCTTTAACATATAAAAAGCACCCTGTATACATTCATGCACACCAATATTAAAATCTCTTCTCAACAGGATACTGGTTGACGTACTAAAGAAAACAAATGCTGCTGTTAGGTAGGCATGAACTTCATTGCTGGTGCCCTAAATGCAAAACAAAACCCAAACTTAGTAATGTAAAAGAGAATTATTTCCCTATCTAAAACCAATGAACAAACTACAGTGACTATAGATTTAGACAAAGCTGGTAATTTCAATCTCTAGGTTATATGACAAATGTTAGTTTATCTTTATATTTATCTTTTCAAAGTCTGCAAATAAAATTGAACAAAGTTCTATACTTGTGAAGAAGTTTTACCACTACCATCTTCTATAAAATCAACTCTTTACTTTCAAAAAGCTAGTAAAAACATCAAAAATAAAACAACTACTTACATCATAAGTTAGTGAATCTGCTTCATTGGCCACTGTCAGGCCTGCTAATTCTCCAAGTCCCAGTTCACTTTCAAGGCCTTCATCTGCTCCCATGATGAATGACTTCCCAGAAGAAGGAGGAAATGTCAATGCTTCCACTGAAAGTGGGAAGACAAAGGAAACATTTAAAAAACCTCTAAAGAGTCAACAATTAGTCTCATTTGCTTGTATCAAATTTCTCTTAAGGGCATGTATACATTTATTTTTAAATGCTTTTAAAACACAATAGAATTCAGTGAGCAGAAAATCTTGAGAAACTGACTGCTTTTTCCATATCTTAACTGTAGCTAAAGGCAGCATCTAATTAGAAAAGTGAGACTTAAAAACAAATCTAATAATCCACTGTCCTTTCCTTTTCACTATATAGAAAAAATAATGACTAGAGGAAAGTAATTTTTCCTCATTTGATATTTCATGCTAATTACTCAAATAATTTCTATCAATTACTAAGCATATAACAAGTGATTCTGAACACAGCTGCTGGTCTCATTCAAAATAAAACTGACTAATTCTTGGGCCGGCCCGGTGGCGCACTGGAGAGTGCGCCGCTTGGGAGTGCGGCGGCGCTCCCGCCGAGGGTTCGGATCCCATGTGGAGACTGGTTCCCGCTCACTGGCTGAGCGCGGTGAGGGCGCAACACCGAGGGTTGCGATCCCATTGCCGGTCAGTAAAAAAGACAAAAAGGAAAAAAAAAACTGACTAATTCTAAACCTGGAAGAATATAAAAGATTTCAAATGTAAATAGTTTAAATCGTAAAATGCCCTGATATAAGTAAAAATTAAATTAATATGTGGTGTTAGAAATCAAGATTACCTCTGCGGGACAGAGAAGGAGTAGTGATTAGAAGGCAGCAAAAGCAGGACTTCTTGGGCCCTGATAATGTTCTACTGCTTGACCTAGAAGATGGTGACATGGGTGGGTGATAATTCTGACTTTGTATAATTCATTGAGCTGTACCCTTACAATATCAACACTTTTCTGTAGGTATACAACATTTCATTTAAAAATGTTAATTTCAAAAAAAAATTTAAGTGTCCATTTGAACACTTTCATTAGCTGCCAACTGTGCTTCAAGGTGTCAGCTTTAATTTGCAATAAACTTGAATATCCTTACTTTATAACACTGAATATATCAATCCAATTCCTTCAAAACCATCAGAGAAGAACGAGTTGAAAGCAAAATGCCAAATTAAGATAGATTTTATTCAATTTGGTCAGTAATAAAACGTCACTCTTTGTAAATGAAAATCATTCCGAAAAACAAAGATAGGCTTTGAGTAGTTTTCTAGAGATAGATACTTTACTAATGACAAACATTTATGAGTCAATTAGATGAATTTAGTAGTTCAAATTCTAGCTGTTAAAGAGGTAAATGAACTTTTTCTTAAAAGAAACAAGTCAACTGTATTAACTGGTAGTACATGTAGAAACTAGATTTACAAGATGGTTTTCAGCTTTATATTCTATCATACATAGTAATAAATACCTGTTGAATAAATGAAAGAATGGTTATTTGCTTTAAAAAATAGTAGTGGCAGAACTCTACTTAAAATCCTTGGCAGAACAAAAAAAAGAGTATAAATTAAGACATTATCAAGACACCATTCAATACAGCAGCAATAATAAAAATGGGTTTTACCAAAAATACCATATAGCATGTAAGTGGTTTAAACAACTCTAAACATTTACTAATGAAGAGTGATAATTGTTTATACTAAAACAGCAATTTTCAGGCCAAAATTTCAACCAAATGACTCATGTGAGACTATAAGGCTATAGGTCTTCAGACAAGTATTTTTCGCTTGTTATGTTTCCATTTCTAACACTTCCAGATAACTTTGTAGAGATGTGAAATAAAAATGACTCTTCAAACAAGAGACTAAAATTCTTGGGATCGACTACATACATTGCGTGGACTAATTTTAACCAATGCTCTAGAATTGGCCAAGTAAAATTTGAAAACAAGGAAGGCAACAAGCACTTCCTTACACCCCTGTGGACATCCAGCAGACTGGAGGGCTGAAGAGAGAAAGCAAGGAAGGGCATCACTGACATGTGACTGTTCTCTAAGGTACCTTAGAACTTAAGACTACAGGTCACAGTTTTACCTGGTAATTAAACATTACTGGCCCTTTTACAAAATCATTTAACTATGCCTCTTAAATGTGACACTGTCTTCTGAATTATTGAAGTAAACAATAAAGTTATTAAAGTAAAATTAAAGGAATAAAATTACAGATCACACACAAGTTATGGATGTCTTTACTGAAAGTGGACTGGAAACCAAGAAGTGTCAGTCATAGACAAGTAAATATACAACCGATTTCTTAAATGTTTTATCTACTTCTGAAAAATCTACATTGAGGGGGACTTAGAACCACTGCTGCAGACAGCAAATTAAAGATTCAATGCTTCAGTTTTAAAGTTCTTAAATATTTTTTTCCTAACAAGGGCAATTTGATGCCCCTGATGTACACAAGTGTCCATCAAATAAATTACCTAGAGTATAATGTGTTGATTCTTTCAAGTATGATGTAATTAACTCTAACAAATAATTAGCAATGTGATGCTCAAAAAACTGTTGCTGAAAACATATTCAAATCATGAAAATCTATACATGAAAATCCTGTTAGCTACAAAAAACAAATATAAATAAAACTTAATTTTAAAAAATCCTATTAGCTTGTCTAAAATGTAACTGAATTTAAAAAAAATACATGATTATTCTGGTAGCTTTTTCTCAGCTATTTTGTTCGATAAATAATGATTTGAAGAGACATATACATGGCAAATAATTACACTACTAAATACAGGATAATTTTAAAAAATAAATTTTGAAAAAGAGCCATTAATCAAGATTACTTTTATGTCATACTGGATTTTCAGCTAATGTAAATATATATTTTAAAATCAACTTCCACATATAAGCATTTTATACATTCATAAATAGATAAATCAGAACTTGTGTCTAAAAGAAAAAATTGTATCTCTCTAACATAAGATTGTACTGGAAAAAACTGGAAACAATCTAAATATCCAAAGAGGAATGGTTTTATATCAAGTCTAAAATATAATATCAACCTTAAGATTATAAGTATGAAAGTTATTTGTATGATTTTATGTTAAGTAAATAAAACAAAATAGAATTATTCTACATGATGACTATAACCATGTAACAGTATATGCATATGGACAAAGACGAAAAAGAGAACAAGAAAAAACAGCAGAAAATGTGGCTAGATTTTCAGTTGGCTTTTTCCCCTTTTTCATTTATCAGTGATAAATTGCTTAAATAAAATATTTATGTGAGTCTCAAAGTAACAAACATTTACTACCTATTTACAGACTCTTAATTTTCTCAATGTTGAAATGATATATATAGGACTTACCACATAGGTGTCTGCAGAGTTAGGGGATATTCTAAACCAAAATCCAGAGTTCATTGTTAAGTTTATGCACCCATTCCCAAAACTTAAAGACTGAAGTTGGAACCAAACCCTCCTGAATGTAAGAAAGCCTGCATTTTGGGAATATTATGTAGATCAAACATCTGCAGAATAAAATTCTCTCTAAGATAGGAGAGCTCTTTCTAATGACTGAATGAATGTAGATACACACACACACACACACACACACACACACACACAAACACACAAACAGTGCTTTTTGTGTTCCAGGGTGTCTTAAATACTTGCCTTCATCTGCCCTATTAATTTCATGTTCAGGAAGTCTGGAGCTGCTGGGTCTGGAAGGTGAACCCACAGATGGCTGCAATGAAGGAAGTTCATCAACATCTCTCAAATTAGCAAGCATATCTTGTAGTTTTGACCTATTGGGCCCTAGCCAAAAAAAAGGGTGGGCAGGGAGACAAAAAAAGAGGAAAAATAATTATCCAATTGCATTGAAATGGTGCCATAAACCTCCTTTCAGATCTGCCGACAATTACCTTTAAAAATATCCCACTACATTAATAAGAAGTAATTATTTCAAAGTTTTCAAATTATTTTTGAAGTTTATTTCTTGAAAACAATTATATTTTACATGTCTTTTTATAATTAAGCTAATGGAATAGCATCACTATTTGCATAAGAATGCTCATGTCCAATTTGGACCATTAAGAGTAATATTACTCTATAATCAAACCATTGTGTATTGCTCTAAATATAGACAGATACCACAGATTGTGAACCTACTGTGTACTGAATAAAACAATAACATCCCTGTTTGTTTGTTTAAACTAATTTCCATTCATTGCCTTACATCTTGAAGCTATGGTACCTGAGATGAAGTCTCATGCCCTGTCAATTACTTACCTGAGCTTTGATTCTTCATTCTCCCACATCCCTGTTTTGACTGTTTTATATAGGATAGAGGCTGAAACAGATCTTCGGTAGTTTTTCCTGTTATAAGTTTAATTAAGAATGGGAAAATCTTACCCATCGTCCATTATGGTTTTTTCCTATACCAGCAAAGAATACAACTATTTTTAAGCAATTTTAACTAATACCTAGAAATATATTTCAAGATAGTATAAACAAAGTACACAATTTGACTATAAATATTTCTACCAGACCATATTAAAAATACTTAAACTTTTCCAATGAGTAACAGTTCAATTAAAAAAAATACTTATGGTCATTTATAAATTAATGCTTTATATATTAATTCAAAGCTCTGCTTCAGTTCTATTTTTATAACTATTCACTTATTCCCAGACTGCTATTTTATTAAGATAACAGGAACTAAAGATGATAAACAAAATGAGCTGAACTTCAGTCTACGGTCCCTATATCTTCAGGGGAAGACATCAAAATTTCTCCCCTACAGAGACATTTTTCTTTGCCATACTAAAAAATCATGTGCTATATGCCTGAACATGGATTGTAATCCCCAGATTCAGGAAATCCAATTGCCTCTATTAGTAGAGATACTGTTCCAGTCAAATGGTGCAGTTGTAGACCTTAAGTGCTACATTCCAACTACAGCGATGCTTGATATTTGACAAGAACAGAATAATTAATGTAAGAGTAGCTGGATTCTACGTAAGTCCTAGCTACATTTCCAACTGAAAGATCTTTTGTATTTCAAGACATTCATTTTTGTAGCACAATGATCTAAAAAGTATATCAGTGTTATGTTAACTGGAAATTGTTTCTCATGTATAATATACAAATTTTCCTCAAAATTTCAGTTTAACTGGTTTTGTCGCGGCTCCAAAAAGCCATGAAAAATCATGTCTCACTATATTTGTTTAGATTAAACTTTTTATCAGTACATTTGGATAACAGGTACAAAATGTTCTTATGTTTTAATATCAATCCTTCTCATTCTGATTTAATCTATATTGACATAGCATTAAATGACATCATCTTTCAGTATGTAATGACTGATACTATGTTAACATCAATGACGGACACTGACTTTGTATGGATTCAGCTAAACACATGTAAATTTTAAGATATTTCAAAAGAAAATTTAAGTGTTTTTAAGTAACTACCAGATTATAAAAGAATATCCTGACAGGAATGACCGACTGGTGTCTTTGATAAGCTTTAGCATCACTATGAAGAAAGAAAAAGAAAACGCATATCTTTCTAGTCTTTTGCAACTTTTAAATACATTTCTCATTAAGTTAGATTTTAATTTTGCTTTAAACTATTTTAATAGCTCAAAGGATGAAATTCCTATTGCCATAAAAGGGAAGTCCATGTTCATATTGTCAACAAGGGTGGAAGCACAAGTGGGTAGTTAAGCCTTCCTCTCCTAAAAAGATGTTTAAGACCATTTTCAGGAATGTTTTGAAAGCTTTTATATTCCCACTTTACATAGTTAACTAGATCTATTGCTAAACTTTATTAACCATTTGCATAATGAAAGAGTTATACATATATGATTCAGAGGGCTAGAAATTTCATTTTGGCTTCTGTTTTTAATGTGGTGCACATTTCATTGAAAAGAAAAAAAGGTAATTGGTGATATTGTTATTAATAAAATGGGCCAAAATTTTTAAATTAGAAAATAAACACTTTTAAAAGTTATGTATTTGGCTCTGTGCCCTGTATAGCATATAGTAGAGAGAGCATAAGAACTGTGTGTTATGAACACACAGAATATTCAGGGGTAGAAATTAACTTTCTTTCTGTCTCCAAGATCTAAAATTATAAGCAATAATTTTGGTGGATTGCCAGCATGTGGTACTAGATGAGATTTACCAATAGTCACTAAAAAATAGAAAAAAGAAAAAAATCACTGCTGTAATTTAAGCACATATCATTTTAAAAATCAAATTATCACTATGTTTGAACACATAGCCCAACACTCTCATGAGGCTCTGGATTTATTACTGGGATATATTATGATTCCATAATCATATATGGATTGTTTTTTTTTTTTGTTCCTGTTGTTAAGTTCATAGTAAAATAGTAACCATTTAATTTCAACCCCTGAGAGCAAATGAAAAGGAAAGAGGTCAGGAGCAGAAATGAAAAAGAGTAAGTAGTTTTAGGAAAACATTGAAAAAAAAATTGGGGGATAGAAGAGAGGCAAGATTTATGATTTACAGATACAATGTTTTCCACTTACTCTTCACCCCCTTTTTCCCCTTTCTCTCCTTTTTGTATTGTTCCTTGAGTTTGGTAATTACTCCCTGGTCCACATTCCAAGCTTCAGGCATGAGACACTGGTCTTCCTTTTCTAAACAGAGTGAGAGAAATGAAACAGCCTTTTTCAATAAAATATTGAACATTCTAAGTCAATATGTCTGAATGACATAATTATCATTTTCTTTATACTAGCTAAAAAAAAAGTCATTGTTTATTCATTAGATATATGTCACACAAAATATAATAGCTAAGAAATAATGATCAACTCAATTTCCTAGATAATAATAATAAATTTCCCTCAAAAGAGAAATTTTAAAAACCTGGAAGATTTTAGTGATTTTTAACAAATTAAGCCCAAACACTTATCAACCAAGAACCTGTCATTTTCATTCCATTTTCTGAATTCTATTAAGATTGACTCACAAAAAACACTTCGTATTAATTTATGTGATGACAGAAGATTATTATTAAGAGATTGTACAAAACAGGCTCCAATGATCTTTGCGTTTCATGAATTTTCAGCATGTGTTCATCAACAAATGATAATTTTTATGTTACAGGCTTTTTAAATAGCATGTAAAATTTATTAATCAACCTTCATTAAGTGATGTGTTAGTTTATAAATTCTTAAAACAGAACACTGAGTTTCCAATAGAAAAGAAATAACCAATTTTCACTGTTTCAGAAGAAAATTTAAAGAGTAAATATAAGTTATATATTTTATACTTACTATTAAACAATTTACATACTATATAATGCTACATAAATATTAGCTCAGAGCTCTAACTTGAACCGAACACTCATATATCCAACTGCTCACTCTACATTTCCATTAGAAAGTCTAATAGATAGGGCCGGCCCGGTGGCGCACTGCTACAGTGCGCTGCTTGGGAGCGTGGCAGCGCTCCCGCCGAGGGTTCGGATCCCACATACAGACCGGTTCCCGCTCACTGGTTGAGCGAGGTGCAGGCGCAGCACCGAGGGTTGCGATCCCGTTGCCGGTCCTGGTCCAGTACGGGCGCGACACTGAGGGTTGCGATCCGTTGCCGGACACGAAAAAAGTTAAAAAAAAAAAAAAGAAAGTCTAATAGATATTTCAAACTAAACATACAAAACCAAACTCCCAATCTCCCTCCCCATCTAATCTGTTCCATCCACAGGGTTCTCCACCTCATTTAATGGCAATTCCATACTTGCATTTGCTGAAACCAAAACCTTCTCTTTCACTCCCCTTCCACATTGAATATTTCAGGAAATAGTGTTTCCTGTGCATACAAAACACATCCAGAATCTGACTTCTCGGCACATCTACTACTTCTATGACCATCATGATCTCTTGCTACAATTAATGTAATAATCGTTTTTCCTTCCCCAACAAGTTTATTATTAACACCAGTTGTCCTGGGTAGTCTATTTTCAACACAGCAGCCAGAGGGATGCTTTAAAATAAAAGTTAGATCATGTCACCCTTCTGTTCAAATCCCTCCCATGGCTCCCCATCTCCCCAGGCATCTACATGTCCCTACATGATCTGGTCATTTCTTACTACATTCCTCCTAGAATAACTCTGTGCCAGCCATTCTGGCTTCCTTGAATTCCTCAAGGATGCCAGGACTACTGCTATCTTAGGACATTTGCTCTGACTTTCTTCTTCCTGAACTCTTCTTCTCTGGGTACCGTATGGCCAATTCCCTCATTAACTTCACATCTTTTGCTCAAATGTTACTCTCTCAACACGTCTTATCTCCAGACAGTGTTGAAATTGAATTGGAGGGCACCCAGTTGGTGTCCGCCAGAGAACTGCTAGCTTAATTGCCAGTGGGGAGAAATCCCAACACATTTGGTCACAGAAGTCAGTCTTCTGTGTTGATGATTGTGCTTGTTGCTGAGTAAGAGTAGAGAAAAAACAGTTTGTGTTTTGTTTTCTCTCACTCACATTAACACAATTACATTCTCTCAAAAAATAAATACTTGCCCAAATATCAGGTCATGAGGGTCTAATGAAACAATCTATCACATGTTCTTAAATTTCAATGTGTACAAACACAAAACATAAGTCTCATCCTAAATATCTTCATTAAAAATTTAAATGTAAAAGTTTTCATTAAAAATTTAAATGTAAACTTAAGAGTACTTGTGTAACAATACATGACCAAAATAGCTATAGATTTTAACTGAGAATCAAGACATCCTTATCAATATTTATTTTTTGTATACACATCTAATTTCTAAAACTTACTTTATACAAAATAAATCACTGAACTTTAGTTTTCTTGAAGATATACTGCAATCCATATTTAAAGTAAATGAAAGTGAGTGAAAAATTCATAATGAAAAACATTCCAGAGCAGCCACAGGCAGCCCCCACTGCTGCTGCAGACACCACACTGCTGTGCAGATGGTCTGCCACAGCCACTTCCACAGCAAGGATGTCTCAGGGCCAGAGCAGCAGCCACCACTGCCATGGTGGCGACCCACAGATCATTCAAACGCACTGACACAAGGAGAATCACCAACAGAGCCCAGAGGAAGAGGTAAGTGAGTGCAGACCCGTGACCCAGTGGCCCAACTCATAGAGGGAATTACACTGCCACGTGCAATAGCATACCTGGGGGTGGGAGGTACATGTGCATCCCACACAACTACCTTGATCTGGGGAGAGATACACGTGGATCTCCACAAGAGTGCAGAAACCATTCCCAATCACTACTAACCCATCCCCCAACCTGAAGAATCAAGGAGGAGCCTCTGCCTGTAAGAAACAGGAAAAAGAAACACTACCCAGAGTCACCCATTCAAATTGAGGAGATCTAATATACCCCAGTGCAACCATCAGGATATTAGGGCATTAGGGCACTAGCCAGGGTGCCAACAAGCCCCTCAGGGTTGCACACTCCAGCCAAAGAGCAACAGGGCATTTACATGTTTCTCCTAAGAATTCGAGAGCTTGCCTCCATCCCTGATGAACCAACACAGTGTCATTAACTTCACCAAGGGATCACTAAGTGCCCCAGTGCCTAGGCCACAGAAGCACTCACATGCAACTCCAACACTGAATACAGCCAAAGTACCCACTCAGACACTACACTACTATGTCTACCCAGAACCAACACTAAAACACCCTACTCAACAGTGAATAAAAAGCACATCTACAGGAGGAAGTCTCTCTCCTCAAAGCCTACTCCAGAGTAACAGAAGAAGCAATTACTCTATCAAATGTCAATGTAGAGGTAACAGATGTAAAAAAAAAAAAAAAAAAAAACCCAAGAAAATATGATATACCACCAAAGGAATATAAAAATTCTCAAGTACCAGACCCCATAGAGCAGGAAATCCTTGAAATGACTGAAAAGGGATTCTGAGTAACAATCTTAAGGAAACTCAATAAGAAACAAGAAGACTCAGACAACACAATGAAATGAGAAAAAGTATTTAGGATATGAAAGAGGAAATTTACAAAGATATTAATACCTTAAAAAAGAATATAGCAGAACTCCTGGAACTGAAAAATTTATTCAATGAAATAAAGAACCCAACTGAGAGCTTAAGCAGGAGGTTAGTGCAAGGAGATGAACGAACTTCTGATCTGGAAGACAGTCTTTTCGAAATAATCCAGTCAGAGAGAGAGAGAGAGAGAGAGAGAGAGAGAGAGAGAGAGAGAGAGAGAGAGAGAGAGAGAGAGAGAGAGAGAGAGAGAGAGAGAGAGAGAGAGAGAGAGAGAGAGAGAGAGAGAGAGAGAGAGAGAGAGAGAGAGAGAGAGAGAGAGAGAGGGAGGGAGGGAGGGAGGGAGGAAGGGAGGAAGGGAGGAAGGAAGGAAGGAAGGAAGGAAGGAAGGAAGGAAGGAAGGAAGGAAGGAAAGAAAACCTTTTTAAAAAATGAAGATCTAAGAGAGCTACCAGACAAACTTAAGCAAGCAAACATCTGAATCATGGGTGTTCCAGAAGGGGAGGAGAAGGGAAAAGCCAATGAAAACCTATTCAATGAAATAATAGCAGAAAACTTCCCAGGTATAGGGAGAACCACAGAGGCTCAAAGATCCCCCCAAACAGATTCAATCCATAAAGATCCTCTCCTAGACACATTATATAGTCTAACTGGCAAAATTCAAAGACAAAGAGAGAATCTTAAAAATGACAAGAGAAAAGTGTCATGTCATCTATAAGGAAATCCCCATCAGACTAACAGCAGATTTCTCAACAGAAACTCTATAAGCCAGACAAGAATGGGATGATACATTCAAAATACTAAAATAAAAAAACTGCCAGCCAAGAATAGTATACCCAGCAGGGCAATACTTCAGAAATGAAAAAAAAATAGTGTATTTCCCAGACAAAAGACCACTACAGGAGTTCACCACCACACAACCAACCCTATAAAAAATCCTCAAGGAAGTCTTGCATCTGAAATCCAAAAAACAATAATCACTACCATGAATACACAAGAAAATTCAAACCACACTGGCAGAACAAAAATGCAAACACAAAAGAGAATAAAGTATATCTTACCACCTTGAAAAACCAACAAACACCAAAGACAAATAATAAAAGGGGAAGAAAGAAACAAAAGATATTTAAACATCCAAATGAAAATCAATAAAATGCCAGGTGTAAAACAATACCTTTCAATAACAAACCTAAATGTAAAAGGATTAAACTCCCCATTCAAAAGACATAAAGACTGACCTATTGGATTAAAAAGCTAGACCCAACTATATGCTATCTTCAGGAGACTCATCTCACCTGTTAAGACATACACAGACTAATAGTGAAGAGATAGAAAAAGATACACCATGCAAATGGACACCCAAAATGAACAGGAGTAACTATTCTTATATGAGATAAAATAGACTTTAAACCAAAATTTTGGGCTGGCAGAATTGGGAGGACCAGAAAGTGGCAACAAAGTAGCGATAGAGCCTCCATCTTGTGAACTCCAGCCCCCCTTCCCTCTCCCCACGCTCCCTGGAAGGCGGGAACCGGAAACTGAGCTCTGCTCAGTCCCTTACCATACATGGGCAAAAAAACACCAACAGCCCTCCCCTTATAAATACCCTCTTGTATCCACCCTGGGTGCAACTTCCCCAGCCTCACT